TGCGGTGCACAGGCCTCTCACTGTTGTGGCCTCTCCCGTTGCGGAGCACAGGCTCCAGACGCGCAGGCTCAGCGGCCATGGCTCATGGGCCCAGCCGCTCCGTGGCATGTGGGATCTTCCCGGACCGGGGCACGAACCCGTGTCCCTTGCGTCGGCAGGCGGACTCCCAACCACTGCGCCACCAGGGAAGCCCTATTCTGAGCCTTCTAAATTCCTCCTCCTTCAGTCCAGGAGATAAGGTTGGAGAGGTGGGCAATTACATATCACATAGAGCCTTTCATGGTTTCAGGACATTTTCGTTTTTGCCTTAGCAATACTTACCACAATAATGATTAAGCAGTTGTTTGTATAATTGTTTTATGACTTTCTCTCTTGATACACAAAGCTCTGTGTGTCCAGGGACCACACTGCGTCACCTGCAGCACAGTGTATAAACAAATAAATGGAGCTCATGGCAATGTTAGATTTGAACACATTTCATGTGAAAATTTGTTTTCATATATTTAATGTTAATATTTAATATGTCAAGATGTTTTTGTGTAAAAATATTAATCATCTGCACAAAAGATCCCCATCTCCTAAGAAGAGAATGAGATGTAATGAGCTGAATTAATTAGGAGAGCATCCAGGAATCATTTGCCTTCTTTATTTGTTGGCCATGAGGACAGATTTTTGTCTGATTTGTTCATGGGTTTATTCTTAGCAGTAAGAACAGTTCCTGGCACAGAAATATATGTTGAGCCAATGGACTGATAAAAGTTAATGACACTCACAACTCAACAGGAAGAAAATAAACAACCTAATAAAAATGAGCAAAAGATTTGAACAGACAGACTTCACCAAAAAAGATATAGGGTGGCAAATAAGCACTTGAAAAGACCAACATTATTAGTCATTAGAAAAATACAAATTAAAACCACAGTGAGTTGTTGCTAGATACCTAATAGAATGGCTAAAACCAAAATAACTGGCAATACCAAGTGCTAGTGAGGATGTGAGGCAATAGAAATCTCATTTGTTGCTGGTGGGACAGCTCACTTTGGAACTTAGTTTGTCGGTTTCTTATAAAGTTAACCGTACACTTAGCATATGACCCAACAACCCTAGAAATTTACTTAAGAAAAATGAAACCATATGTCCACAGACACATACACACATAAAAAAAAACAAAGATGTTTGTGAAGGCTTTATTCACAATTTCTTTCTTTCTTTTTTTTGGAAAATGTTGGTGGATTTTGATATGTGAATCTTTTTCAATTTCTTTTTATTTATTTATTTTTTAAATTTTTATTGAAGTATAGTTGCTTTTCAATGTTGTGTTAGCTTCTGCTGCACAGCAAAATGAATCTGCCATACATATACATATATCCCCTCCATTTTATTTCCCTCCCATTTAGGACACCACAGTGCGTTAACCAGAGTTCTCTGTGCTATACAGTATGTTCCCCTTTATTGTCTATTTTATACATAGTATCAACAGTGTATATGTGTCAATCCCAATCTCCCAATTTCTCCCACCCCACCCCTTTCCCTCTTGGTATCCATACGTTTGTACTCTACGTCTGTGTGTCTATTTCTGCTTTGCAAATAAGGTCATCTATACCATTTTTCTAGATTCCACATATATGTGTTAATATGCGATATTTGTTCTTCTCTTTCTGATTTACTTCACTCTATGACACTTCCTAGGTCCATCCACATCTCTACAGATGACCCAATTTCGTTCCTTTTTATGGCTGAGTAGTATTCCATTGTATATATGTACCACATCTTCTTTATCCGTTCCTCTGTTGATGGACATTTCGGTTGCTTCCATGTCCTGGCTATTGTAAATAGTGCTGCTATGAACATTGGGGTGCATGTGTCTTTTTGAATTATGGTTTTCTCTGGGTATATAGCAAGTAGTGGGATTGCTGGGTCATATGGTAGTTCTATTTTTAGTTTTTTAAGGAACCTCCATACTGTTTTGCATAGTGGCTGTATTAATTTACTTTCCCACCAACAGTGTAAGAAGGTTCCCTTTTCTCCACACCCTCTCCAGCATTTATTGTTTGTAGATTTTTTGATGATGGTCATTCTTACCAGTGTGAGGTGATACCTCATTGTAGTTTTGATTTGTACAGGATAGAAAGCCCAGAGATAAACCCATGCGCCTATGGCCACCTAATCTATGACAAAGGAGGCAAAAATATACAGTGGAGAAAAGACAGCCTCTTTAATAAGTGGTGCTGGGAAAACTGGACAGCTACATATAAAAGAATGAAATTAGAACACTTCCTAACACCATACACAAGAATAAACTCATAATGGATTAAAGACCTAAATGTAAGGCCAGACACTGTGAAACTCTTAGAGGAAAACATAGGAAGAACACTCTGACATAAATTGCAGCAAGATCTTTTTTTGACCCACCTCCTAGAGAAATGGAAATAAAAACAAAAATAAACAAATGGGACCTAATGAAACTTCAAAGCTTTTGGACAGCAAAGGAAACCATAAACAAGACCAAAAGACAACCCTCAGAATGGGAGAAAATATTTGCAAATGAAGCAACTGACAAAGGATTAATCTCCAAAATATACAAGCAGCTTATGCAGTTCAGTATCAAAAAAACAGCCCAATCAAAAAATGGGTGGAAGACCTAAAGGCACATTTCTCCAAAGAAGACATACAGATGGCCAACAAACACATGAAGAGATGCTCAGCATAACTAATTGTAATTTCTAAAAATTGGAAAAAAACTCAAATAATCATTAACTGGTGAATGGATAAATGGCTAAACAAACCATGGCACATTCATACAATGGATTACTACTCAGCAAGAAAATGGTGCAAACTACCTATATAAGCAACAACATGAATGAACATCAAATACCTATGCTAAAGTGAAAGAAGCCAGACTCAAAAGGCTACATACTATATGATTCCATTTATAGAACATTCTGGAAAGGCAAAACTATGGGACAGAAGCCAGATAAATGCAGATAAGTGTTCACCAAGGGCTGGGGGTGGGAAAAGAGAATTGACTACAAAGGGGGAACTTTTTGGAGTAATGGAAATATTCTGTATTTTGATTGTGACAGTGCTTACCCAACTACATGCATTTGTCAAAATTCATAGAACTGATTTGAGAACACCCTGAACCAGAAAAGGATAAATTTTACTGTATGTAAATTATACCTTAATCAACCTGACTCAAAACCGAGCAGAGAAAGGGTTAATGAGGCTCTTCTCTATTAGTACTTAAGCAAGCAAATCATTAGCTTGCTGCTTGGGAATCAGGAATGAACCATGCTTTGCCGAGGGACCAAAGAAACTAGTGAAACTCAGCTCCCTGCTCATCATTCCCACTGTTTTTCTTCTTTACATGCTCGCCCTGATAAACAGGTAATAAGGCACTTCAAAATCCTTAATCTCTTCAAAATATGTAATGGAAAGATAGAATATGTTGCAGGCTTATAAGTTGCTTGAAGCAAGGTCTTTATTTTTTGTGTATTATAGTCTGTGGCAAAACCATTAATTGACAAATGCCATTTAGCCCCATGTAAGACACTGAGCTCTCACTTATTTGCTACTCCGTAGAGCTGCTGTGAAAATCAAGAGGACATACTTGCACTGTATAAACGATAAAGTGCTAAATAAATACAGGTGGTCTCGTTGCCAAATATTAACAAACTAGACATAACAAACAAACTGGGATTTCAGGCATCAGAGAGTAAACCACAAACAGGTTGTAGGTAAGATGTAAAGGAAAGAATTACTTGACTTGCATCTATGTTTGGCCCCATTGCCATCTTCTTGCCCAATGAGGAGAATCTGTGGTGTTCAGGAGTTCAGTCCATAGCATTGATGAACGGCAGGAGTGAAATTTGACGTATTAGAGTGGGAAGCGACTAAATGGAAGGACTGCTATAGGCAAAAGTTGGACTTAGAAGCTCTGAAAGAGTGAATCTTCAACAGGTGGTTTTTTGTTTGTTTTTGTTTGTTTGTTGTTTGTTTTTGGTACTCCAGTCTTCTGTGAAGTGGGGGTCTCATTCTAGATAGAGGTGACCATTGTAGTAAATGTACTGTGTCACCCATACCAAACCATTTCTTCTGATATCTCATCTTCCAGGATTTTTGCCACTCTAGTTCTCCATACATTTTTTTCCATAAACAGCCAGCTTTTATGCTTATGAATATTGTCATGAACCCACGGATATCAGTGATAAAGTTTTAGCTATAGTCATAACAGATTTCTCCTTTATAGACATACACACACAATTAGAAACCTTGCTTTTTTGCCTTTTAGATTGCTATATCATTTGTCTTGGAGAGGTACTCCATGTTGAGCTCAAGAAATATTTATTCATATGACTTTATTTGATAACTTATTCATGGGGTATTTCAGAATTATGAAATGAATTCTAGCAATATGGCTTTGGCAAGATCACTGAACATGTGTTTTCTTGCTTGCAAAACGCAGTTAATAGTTTCAACTTTGCTGTTGTCACCATGTTGTTTTAAGAGTCACGATAGCTTAGGCAAGCTTGCAGTTTACTCTGAAGTTTTGTGCTGATGTAAGGCAGTAGTATTTTTTAATTTAATTTAATTTATTTATTTATCTATTTATTTTTGGCTGCATTGGGTCTTTGTTGCTGCGCACAAGCTTTCTCTAGTTGTGGTGAGCGGGGGCTGCTCTTCGCTGCAGTGCGCGGGCTTCTCATTGTGGTGGCTTCTCTTGTTGCGGCACACGGGCTCTAGGCATGCGGGCTTCAGTAGTTGTGGCTCGCGGGCTCTAGAGCACAGGCTCGGTAGTTGTGGTGCACGGGCTCAGTTGCTCTGCGGCATGTGGGATCTTCCCAGACCAGGGATCGAACCCGTGTCCCCTGCATTGCCAGGTGGATTCTTAACCACTGTGCCACCAGGGAAGCCCTGCAGTAGTAGTATTAATGGCATTCTCTTCATTATTTTTACCACTCCCAGAAGAGGGTACACTGATAAATTGTATGTTTCTCCAGGGAGAGTCACTCCGGGACAGCTCATGTCGTATATTCATCTCTTCAAGAACAACCTCAAAGCTCTAGGGAATCACTGTGGGCTCCTACAGCTTGGACTGGCCACTGTTCAAACTCTGAAACACCCGCAGACTGCCAAGTGGGACAACTTTCTGGCTTTTGAAAGGCTCCTTCTCCAGGTATGTTGCTCTGGGAGCTTCTTGGGATATTAATAATTAAAGTTTTTAATTCCAGGGAAAATCTTTGATATTTATTATAATCTTAGTAATAAATCATATTGTTGACATATGCTCTATATCATATTTTCTTAAGTGCCTCCAATTTAAAATTCAAGTAGCAGTTTTTTTCTGTATCTACTTTTTTTTTTTACAGTAACGTCTTTGGCTTCTCATTCAATACTTTAGAATGTTTTTTGAGTATTTGACTAAACTTTGAAGATCTCTTTTCAGTTTTATGCCATTTGGGCCTTTCTTGATCTTCATGGCATCTTTATTTAATCCTTGCTACTTTTCCTGTAGAATATTGCTACTGTTTACATTTCTTCTGACACTACTTTCTAATCCTTAAACAACAAATAGCATGTGGCTTAAAATGATGCTTATAATAGACGAAAGGGAGGCAAACTCCATTTATAATTTTCTTTTTTTTAAAGTATTAGCTTATTTATTTATTTATTTATTTATTTGGATGCTCTGGGACTTAGTTGTGGCACATGGGATCTTTCTTGCCACATGCGGGATCTTTAGTTGTGGCGTGCGGGATCTTTTTTTAGTTGCAGCATGCGGGATCTTAGTTGCGGCATGTGGGATCTAGTTTCCTGACCAGGGATCCAACCGGGGCCCCCTGCATTGGGAGGGTGGAGTCATAACGCCTGGACCACCAGGGAAGTCCTCATTTGTAATTTTCATGAAGAGAGACGTATGTGGAGTAGGACCTTTTCACTATTGATAAAATATTTTCATGGGAAACTTTTAAGAAGATGTATTTTTAAAAATTATAAAGTATTTCAAACACATAAAATAATATGACAAATATTTATGTACCTTACACATAGATTCAATATAATTTACTAGTTTTTTATGTTTACTTTATATCCTTTTTCATTAAAGAAATAAAACTAGACATAAAGTTGAAGCATTTCTGATACTATACCCTTTTTCTGCTCTGATTCTCCTTTTTCCTTTCCCAGAGGTAATCACAAGCTTGATTCCTTGTTTCTATATGTTTATTAAATATTTATTTTTCCATAAATAATACAGAGTATTATGCTATGGGTTTTACTTTTTATGTAAGTGATACCACATTATAAGTATCCCTAAACAACCTGCTTTTCCCTCTCAGCATTCTGTTTTAAGATAATCCAAATTGACATGTATAGATTTAATTGTATAAATATTCAATTTATGGAATCCATATTGATGTATAATTAGACTGTTCCATATTTGTGTGTGTGTGTGTGTGTGTGTGTGTGTGTGTGTGTGTGGTTTGAAAGAATGAGATGAATATCCTGGAACTTGTCTTCTGGTCCACATGTGAGAGAGTGTCTCTAGGGCATATACCTTGGAGAGGAATGTTATTTTGTTGACCATGCATATTGTTGAGTTTACCAAATATCACCAAACTGATCATCAAAGACTTTGAACTAGTTGACTCTTCTGCTAGGACTGGATGACAGTTTGTTTCCCAGCATAGTGTCCAGCACTCAGTATTATCAAATTTAAACATTTCTTTATAATGGGTCAATACTGTCTTTGTATAAATTTGCATTTCTCTGGCTACTGATGAGGCTGAGCACCTTCTGTAGTATTTATTAGCTATTCAGTTTTCCTCTTCTACCAATTGCTCATTTTTATACTTATTTATCTATTTAGGTAACAGAAAAAACTGTTTTATGTCATGCAAATACTTCTCCCAGACTGTGGTTTGGCTTTTAAATTTAATTCCTATATGTTTTGTTGTACAGAATTTTTGCATTTGATGTACTCTAGTTAATGAATATTATCTTTTATAGTTTATTCTTATTTATGTTTTATATTAGAAATCTTTTTGTACCCCTAATTTCTAAATCTTTTGTTCCGTATTTTCCACTAAAAATTAATTTTTGTTTTTGACATTTGAATTTTTATTTATTTATTTAACATCTTTATTGGAGTATAATTGCTTTACAATGTGTGTTAGTTTCTGCTTTATAATAAAGTGAATCAGCCATACATATACATATATCCCCATATCTCCTCCCTCTTGCATCTCCCTCCCGCCCTCCCTGACATTTGAATTTTTAATCCACCTGGCATTTATCATTGTTTATATTATTGGGATCTCATTTTCTTTTCTTCCATATGGATAGCCTATTCTCCCCACACCATTTATGAAATATTCCATTGTGCTGTAGATTACTTACCTCACAGTCATTTCCCTCTTTCTCATGTTGGCAGAACACCAGTTTTGTTCCAGTGTCCACTCTTTTCCCACATGATTCAGGCAAATCCTGATTGGTCTCAGACTATATTAATATTCTCATCTCCCCACCTAATGACTGGTTTAGCAGTTCTAGCCTAAGGGAGGCAAAGCGAAGTTTGCTGGAGGTGCTCCTAAGAAAGATTTTCTTTTGCCCTTGTAGAAAAATACATAATGAAGAAACAAGCTCCTTTTTATTGATATATGTTTGTGACACTTTGAGTATTTTGTAATAATGAAGGGAGCTCACTGAGATCCTGAAAAAGATAAACAGAACCTAAATCCTTAAAGATGACTTTGAGTCTTACCTCAGAATATCTTGTTTTGTGAGATGATGATTCTTCTCATTGTTTAAGCCATTTTAGGTGGTTTTCTATTATTTGGAACCAAAAGATATTCATCCTTTTCTCAATGATACATGATACACTAAGATCTCATATAAAAATAGGTTTGTATCTCACTTTCTAGTCTGTTTCAGTGGTCAGTTTATCCATCACAGAATTAACACCACAGTGTTAAAATTAACATGTCCAGTTTTATGCCTTTCTCTATAAAAGAAACTTACTAGATTTCTTATGGGTATTTTAATGATTTTAATACCAGTTGTAAATTGAATTTTCTAATTGCTCATTGCTAGTGTATTGGAATACTCTTGGCTTGACTTTTGACTGGTGATCACTTGTCCAACCTTGCATTTTCTCTTAATGTTTGTTTTCCTATTTCTTGCTGTGATTCATTGGTTGTCCTGTATTTCCTCTGCAGGCAATAATATTATCTGTGAATAATGGCAGTTTTGTTACTTCCTTTACACACTTCATACCACTTTCTTTTTTATTGCACTGACCAGGCATACTACAACCCTACTCAACAGAGGCAATGAAAATAGGCATTTTCATCTTATTCCTGACTTTAAACACAATGTTCTAATATTTTACCATTAAATATTATGTTTTGTTTTGTTTTTAATCAGGCTAGGGAAGTTCCTTCTTAATCGTATTTTGCTGAATTGTTGTTGTTGTTATTGCTGTTTTTATCCTGCCTGAGTGTTGAATTTCACTTAATACAGATTCTGAAATTTTTTAGATGAATATATATATATGGTTTTTCTCCCATAATCTGTTAATGTGGTGAATTGTATTTATAGTTTTTTAAATAATCATTACTGCATTCCTGGGATAAGTTTAACTTGATCCTACACACACACACACACACACACACACACACACACACACACACTGCTAGATTTAGTTTACTAATATTTTATTTACGCATTTGCATTTATGCTTGTGGGTGAGATTACCTTATAATTTTCCTTCATTGTGCTGATGTTGTCCAGTTTCGCAACAAAGGTTATAGTAGTTAGGTAAAATCAGAGTGAGTTTCATTTTTTGTGTTCTTTGGAGCTATTTGTATAAGAAAGGAATTTTCAGTAGCTTAAAAGTGAAATATGCCTAAATTTAGAATCATGTGGACCTGCTGTGTTGTTGTTAGACTTAGATTTGTACTTCCAATTTGATTACTTAAGTGTTTATAGATCTATTTAATTCTCTGTTTCTTCCTGAGATTATTTTGGTAGTTTATATTCATTTAAATCCATTCATCTATATTTTCAAATTGGCATAAATTTATTTATAGAATTCTCTTAAAATTTTTAAATCTCTTTTGAGTATATAGTTGTAATTCCTTTTTTCAATACCTGATATTTTTATTGCAAAATTAACTCTCCTTTTGATTTTGGTTCATATTAGCAGAATTTTATTAGTCATTCTAAAGAATCAGCTTTAGTTTTTTATTTTGATATACTCATTTGTGCTCTGTTTTATTTTTCATTAATTTCTGTTTTTATCTTATTTCCTTTCTTCTGTATTCTTTGGTTTTACTCTGTTGTTCTTTTTTTAACTTCCTATTTTCAAATAATGTATTTAAGATTATGAATTTCCCTCTAAATACTGCTGTAGCTTAGTCCAAAAGTTTGACTGTCTTTGTTGTTATTCAGTTCTAAATATTTCACAATTTCTATTATGATTTTCCCTTTGATTTATTTATTATTTAGATTGCATGATATTTTTTAAGTTTATAAATATATGAGGTGTTTTTTTTTTTGTTTGTTTGTTTTTTGCTTTACGCGGGCCTCTCACTGTTGTGGCCTCTCCCACTGCGGAGCATACGCTCTGGATGCGCAGGCTCAGTGGCCATGGTTCATGGGCCCAGCCGCTCTGCGACATGTGGGATCTTCCCGGACCGGGGCACGAACCCATGTCCTCTGCATCGGCAGGTGGACTCTCAACCACTGCGCCACCAGGGAAGCCCTATATGAGGTCTTTAAAAAAAAACTTACTTTTACTTGATTATTAGATTATGGTCAGAGAATGTGTTTTGAATGATATAATCTCCTTATTTATGTGACTTCCTTTGTATGTGATTCATTTCTCTAAATGGTCCACATATACTCAAAAAGAATGTTTATTCTCTAATTGTTTTATGTAGTGTTACATAAATGTCCCTTAGCTTACAGTAATCATATATAATATATATTAAAATATATATTATTATAATATAAATAATTCAAATAAATATAAATGATTCAAGATACATTTTTTAAAAATTCTTTATCTCCTTACTTACTAGCTTCTGACAGAAGTGTTTTCAAGTTTCCCACTATGATTGTGGATTTATCAATTATTCCTTATATTTTTTCTGTAACTATATCTATCTATATCAC